ATATATATATATATATATTTTTTCTATATATACTTATACATATACATATATATATATATATATGTATGTGTGTATATGTAGAGGGTTTTGGGATATTTTGGGGGCGGCTCTAGCAGAGTATGCTTATCATGACGAACCATGGGGCCATAGGGAATAATGGCCACCCGAAACCCTCAGACGTATTGGCCGGAAAGCACTCACTGCCTTGACACGATCGCTCTTCTTCCACCGGGTTTAGGGAGCTTGTCAGGCCCCCTGGCCACTTGGAGCAAGCAGGTGCTAACCCCACACCTCATACCCTATACTCCCCGCTCAACTTTCACCTCATTTCTCAAACCGCCTAATAAAGCAACCCGTCAAACCCGAGATACGCAAAGCACCTCCCAAAACGAATACGACTACTCATAAAACAACCCAAACAAAAACCACCTTCCAAAACAAATACAAGTATCCATAACAAAACCCAAAACCCAAAGTGCCTAAACAATCCATAACCTTATCCATAAAATAACCACTATCCTAATGAGGTGTGGGGTAAGACCCTAATACGAAAAACCAAAAGACCATAACCCTGTCAGGATACAGAATATTTATAACTGTGAAGAATAATTATTATTGTATGTTCTCTTCATCTTGTTGCTTTTCTCGCCTCGTAGTATCTAGTGTTCTTCCGTCTATAATTTCAACAATTAGTTTTCCATTCCTTACATAACTCGTTATGATACAGTTTTCTAAATATGTGCTAATAACTTTTCCTTTATCAAGTTCAAGTCACTCTTATTTCTATCATTTCCTGCTTGTTTGCATATCCAGACGCTTCTGCCGTTATTGTGGAAGTTCTCAATCCTTTCAATGTTTTAGTAAAATACGCTTTTTGTAAAATACAGTGTCTAATATGCTCTCTCTTGGTCGTCGAACTTAATCTCATAATATTCTAATGTTTTCTTCCTTCGGAAACTTAATAGAATTGATTAACATATACGCTTCTCTTATTCTTATAAGCATCACTATCTTTATCCATTGGTTGTTTTAGCTTGTTTAGGGTTATTAACTAATCCTTCAAGTTTTTCTCCATGAGTTATAGCTTCTCTACAACCTTTTGACTACTGATACGCTTGATTGGTTTTACAACATCATCTTCGCCAGACATATGTAAAAGCTTTAGGTTAAAACTTTTTTAAAAGTGTGACCAAACATGCATTTAACAACACTCATAAAGACATGTTTTTTCTTGTACCCACTCGTGCAATTTAAGCATCTCCTACACATTTTGGGTATAATCTTTGCTTTTGTTTGAACTACGAAAGCGTTGTAAATCACGACGTATTTTGCAATTAGGAAAGTATTTAAGATCATTCAATTTGCATTCATATACATATTTATCATTAACATTGGACGATACAGTAACTGCATCTACATATATTGTCATATAAAACGAACGATTGAAAAATGAAACTAAAAAGCATTCACAAACTAATTAAGCACCATCTTATGTAGTGCTATTGAATGTAGCTCATTACTTCGTTTTCATGAGTTCATCCAAGTGGGACAAAGGGGGTTTTCTTCTCCTTCTTCCAAGATGGCACACTTGCCTCTGTCATATTGCAATATGAAACAGCTTTAATCTAACTTAAACTTATACTTATTTATATCTTCCATATCTTTTTCATTAAACCAATGTCAGTCTCTAACTGCTCTACTCTTTCTTCTAACTCTTCTAGTGTCAGTTGACTTTTACCCTATCCTGTATCACATATTTCTACACTTCCTGCTTGTATATTAGTATCTGGTTTAAAAATATCGTCGGGGGATTGATGCCTACCTGTTGAGCCAAAGTTAGTATTTCTCTTGCCAATAACAGTATTAGCTGTTATTATGTTATTATCCTTTGTTGTTTTAGTCTCTTGATGAAAAAAACTGTCTGTTACATCGGCAAGGAATACAAGATATACCTCGGGCATTAATACGAAATCCTTTATCGTTACTTTTTTCTGTAATGTCGCTCATTTATATTACTTAGATTTCTTAATTGTCTTGGAATAACAAACAACTAATTTCAATAACTCTGTTGAAGTATAGGAACATCTACGATGTTTAGGGTCAGTTATTATTGTACCTAACTTTTCTAACTCGTCCAAAGCTTCTAAATACTCATCATAGTCGTAAGCATGCGAGTCTCGCGAGGCATCTGCCGAAGGGTCACCCATATATTAAATAACGGTATGCTTTTTCTATGTACTATTAACGACTGATATACCCTATGTAAAACCAACAAATATACCTGAATACAAACATAAACGAAGCACATATGAAATGACGCCAAAATTACCCTTCCGTTCAATTGTTGTAGCATCAAGCACAGGGGGCAAAACGGTTCTCATCCAAAACCTTTTGCTTAATATCTACCGCGGTTCTTTTGAAAGGGTAGATATGTTCTCGCCTTCAATTCATAGTGACCCTGCCTTTTACGAAGTCAAGAAATACCAGCAAGAACTCCCGCAGTTCCCAAGTCCAGTCGATGCCTCAAGGCCGCCGGAACGTAAAGCCTGGAAAGCTCGATGCACCTCCGGGCGAAACGGCGACGAAGGTCCAAGCCAGCTGGTGCCTAGTCCCTTCTTCCATGCAGCTTTCAATGCTCTTCTTGGTACACTTTTCGATCTGTGCTAGGATGCTTACTGTAGGGGTGTGGGGTTTAGGTGTCAGGGTTTGGCGTTGAGGTGTCAATTCGATGTTACGATGTAGCAAAGAATCAGCCCTCGCAAGCGATGGAATCCCGGTAGCTTTTCGCCTCGCCGCGGAGCGCCACAAGGGAAGAACCCCGCCGAAGCCTCGGATGAGGAGAGTCTCAGAAGGCACGGCACTTCCTCCCCTAAACCTAGCCGGACCGATCTGTGCCCAACGGCAGATAGGGGAGGGAACCAGAACCGTGGCTTGCCGGATTTTGTGGTGAGAGGGTCGCGTGAAAAAATAAATGACGATGACAGCCTCACCCCGGATGCGGAAGCAGCAGTTGATGTTCCACAGCACCAGTGGACAGGAAAGGCCAGCTGCAACCAAACAGTTCTGCACGTTTGAAACGCTTTGGCCGGCTTAAGGCGGGACTGCAACCCTCCATGAAGCGGTCTCGTGGAAACTATGGAAGCCGTGCACTTCGCCGCCGAGTCTCTGTACCAAACCAGACACCTCTGGCTGCAGCTGTGAAGGCTTGATGCTGCAGGTGAGGGCTATGCACATTCGAGAACGCAGGGCAGGTGAGGCACTGGAACGGAAGTGGAGAGGAAACTCGATGTGAGGTATTCCGGCGGCCACGGCCAGAGACAGCATACCCCGAAAACGATCCAGTATGGTCCAGTCCATCCCGTCGGAAGCCAAACTGCAAGACCACCAAAGCTCATGAAGAGCCCGTGATCCGGCCTTGTCCCTGATCAATCCAAGGGCTGCTTTCAAAGCCTCCAATTCAGCCTCGTCCGCCGACTGGACTGAGCTATCGATCGAGAAAGTCTTTTGGATGTTTGCCTTTTGTCTATGCTATCACAAGCCTAGCACAAGTCATGCAACGGTTGTATGGTAGGAGGTGTTTGTATCGGGCGCACGCAGCTTGTCCGGACCTGAAAGCCCCCAGCTTTGCCTGGCGGCTACTGCGGCGCTTCTCGAAGGATTCGGCCTCCGGCACGCGCAAGGACAGAGGGTGTAAAGGTCGCTTAGCAGACAGGCGCGGCATCGTTGCAAGGCAGCCAGGACTGTTAGACAGGGCCTTGCAGGTGATCTCAGAGATCCGCAATCGGATCATAGCCCTCGGAGACCCGAATCAAGGCTCCCGCCTTTAGACTACACATCACCTGCAAGTCCTCTATGTACTTCTTGTCTTGCTGCAGGTCCTTCGCTTCGGTTTTCGTTTTCCTTGGAGGTAAACTGTTCAGGCTTGACGTGGCGAAGACTGGCAGGTGCAGCGGTCATGGGGGATGTCACCGTGCAGACAGCACTGCTGTCAAGCCTATACCACGATGCAGACATTGCCCCATAAAGCGTACAAGACCTCCCTTCCGTTACATGTTCACTGACTGTTGTGTCCTTCCGCACATCCTCAAGATCTTCGCCTGCCTCCTTCTGCGCTCTTTGCGCGTCGCCTGCTGTTAGTCGCTTTGAGGCTGTTGGGTGAAGTCCATACAGCAAACGTGTTCTGAAAGAGGCCAAGCAGATCCCCACCTAGGGCAGAACGCTTCGTGCGAAGCGCGGCTTCCATACCCTCCTGGGTATCTTCACGTTACAGGGCCCAAGAGCTGGGTCATGCTATGTGCTGCACATGACCACAAGAAGCCGGTATCTCGGTAGCCCTGCACAGCATAGCCTCGAAGCCTCGGTTGCTACTCGGAGGTTCGTGGGTAGTTATAAGTAGGGTTGTAAGTAGGGTAACTATAATTATAACCCATATTAGGGGACATATAACCCCACTTATATCTACCCATGAACATATGCCGAGCGACATGCTCCATTTCGAGCTGGTTCAGCAACAGCTCATGCTCCTGAGCGACAGAAATTCCATCGTTGAGACCTCACACCGTCCTGCGCACTGGTAGAAGGTCCCGCCATTCGCCTTGACTTGCCAATTTCAGAAGTGTAAGTTTCGAAAACTCCCAGGCGGCGCCTGTTTCGCGTGTGTCTCGGCTTTGCGGAGGTCCTGCAAGGTCGAGATATTGATAACATTTGGCTGGCTTGTTCAGAACCTTTCCGGGACCTAGAAACTTCTCCAGATGCACGACGTGACGCGAGAGATGAGAGTCCAGTGTAATACTACGTGATCTCTGCCCTTTGGCCGCGCTGCTCTTCAAAGCACAACATGGCTCCTTTGCTACGCCGATGCCACAAGCAGTTCTGTGTGCAAACGTTGCATCCGCAGAGCCGCAGAAAATATAACATATAATAAAAAATTTTTATATATAACCTATAATATAGAATATTTATTATATAACCTGTAATGTAGAACATTTCATATACAACATATAACACACAATATAGAATGTATAATACATAATAAATAATATATCACAGCCCCTCTCTGAAGCTCCGACCTCGAGCTCGCCGTGGAAGCGCTCCGAGAGCTTCCTTGGGCTTTGAGAGACCGGGAGCTTTAGGGCCTTTAGGGGTTTAGGGGTTTAGGGGTTTAGGGTTTAGGGTTTAGGGTTTAGGGGTTTCGGGGCTTTTTTTTTTAAGCACCTTTTCCACCTAGCAGTTAAGGCCGGTGGAAGGCTGGGGTTGAGGGTTTAGGGCTGCTTCCTGTGACATCGAGCAAGTCTCCGCTGAGGCGGCGCGATTCGTGACTTCACTGCAAGAGAAGACCCGCTTCTGGGTGCGATCACACTTTAATCGCGCATTCCCGCCATGGAAGCAAGCCCGGGAATTCCAAAACGGGTGGATCTGCAAGGCAACTGCGACACACGAATCATCTGAGAGAGCGGAACACAGAACGGCACACATGATGTGCTCATACACGCGTACATATACAGAAACATGCATCCGAATCAACGTGCACACGTACACACACATACACACGATTGATATAGATAGGTAGATAGATAGATAGACAGACAGACAGACAGAGAAAGATAGATAGATAGATAGATAGACACACAGGTAGATCGATGGACAGATGGACAGAGAGAGAGAGAGATAGACAGACAGACAGACAGATAGAAAGATAGATAGACAGATAGGCAGATAGACAGATGGACTGATAGACAGATGGACTGATAGACAGATAGACAGATAGATAGATAGATGGATAGACAGATAGACAGATAGATAGATAGATGGATAGATAGATAGACAGATAGATAGATAGATAGATCGATAAATACATACATACATACATGCATACATACGTGCATACATACATACACACACAAATACATTCACGTATGTATAGATATACGTATACCTATCTGTATAAGTATATGCACATATACACGTATCTACATCTACACATACATACAGATGCACTTATATGCACATCTACATATAAACATATATGCATATGTACAGATATGTACATATGTACACATATCTTTCTTTCAAGCGCTGCAAAGAGGTACTTCGCAAATGGACCCCACCTATAATATACATATATATCTATATACATATATATTCATATATACATACATATATATATATATGCATAGATGTGTACAATTGTGTATATATATATATATATAGAGGCATGTTTGTACATAGAATCGTGTACATGTATGTATGTGTATATATATACACACCTAAACATACATACATAGGTATATAGATATACATATATACATACATACATACATACATACATACATACATACATACATACATACATACATACATACATAATATATATATATATAGGTATACAGATACATATATCTATATACATACATGCATGAATACATACATACATACATACATACATACATACGTACATACATACATACATACATAAATACATACATATATGCATATATACATTTTTACATACATATGTAACTCTATATATGTATACATATATATATATATACATAAATACATACATACATACATACATACATGCATACATAATACATATATACAGCTATGCATATATATATATATGTGTGTATACATATATATACATACAT